GAACACCAAAACGTGTAAAGGACTCCTTTACCAACACTTCTGCAACTGTTGCTGCCTCTTGGTTTGGAATGGCGTAAGCTTCAGTCCACTTTGTGAAATAATCCATAGCGACTAGGATATATTTATTTCCGCCATCTTGTCTCGGGAAACGGTCCTGCGATATCGATAGCAACTCGTTCCATCGGACTACCAACGTTATACTGCCTCATGGGTGCCTTCTTCTTGGAAACTGGTCCGTTTCCAGTAGCACATAACTCACATTTTTGACACCATCGCCGGACATCTTCTTTACGGTTGACCCAATAGAATCGCTCACGTACCCTTTGCAACGTTTTCGTAATACCAAAGTGTCCTCCGGAAGCGCCGTCATGCAATTTTCGCAATACTTCTGACACTTTGCTTCTAGGTACTACTAATTGCAGCGTCGATTCAGTGCCATCTTCACTTTCAAGGGTCCTATACAACAGGTTGTCTTTCAGAGTCAGGCTATTCCATTGGCCCCAATAACTCCTTACTTCAGGACCTGTGGCACTAATGTCTTGCCAGCCTGGTCTTTGTCCGTGGCGCATCCAATTCAGAACAGTTTTTATACTTGGGTCGTTTTCTTGGGCCGTTTTGATTTCGCTTGGCTTCCATTCCTCACTCTCTACAGTTGTTCGTCGCAGATGGCCAATCTTGTCTTCTATTTTAGAACAATGTGTGCAGTTGTCCTTGCACGGTGTTCTTGACAAAGCGTCTGCATTATTGTGAACTGTTCCAGACGACGACATGTTTACAGTGAAGATCGGGGCTTTGTTTCTGCAGGTCGACGATAGCCCCTTCCTGTCGACCTTTCTTAGTTTTCCGACTGCAATGGTTTTTGGCAGTTGCGGCGAACGTGTCCAATCTCGCCGTGGTTCACGTTTCTTTGCCAGTGACTGTATTGCTTTATTGATCTTTTCTTCCACGACTTTACTGACCTTTTCTTCAAAACTTCCAGAGTCACCTTCCTCTTCGATTGTTCTTACCCGGCTGTCACTGCGAGGTTCCACCATACGTACTCGCGCACTTCCATGACTAGCTTTCTTGGCGGCTTCGAATTCTAACGCATGGGCCAAAGTTTTCTCAATTTTGTCGTGCCTAGCCAGTCTCAAAGCCTGCTGGGCATCTCCATCACGAACGGCATCGATAAATGTTTGTACAGCCAGTTGATCAAGAAAGCTCTCCGGTGCCGTAGGGTATGCCAATCGAATCAGTCTAGCGATGTCCGCTTCAAGTTCCTGCAAACTTTCTGGTTTCTGCATTCGGTTCTTGACTTGGGCATAGTAAACTTGCTGAAGGTGTTTATCGCCATATCGCATTTCAAGTCGCGCTACTATTTGTTGGAAGTTCTGTTGATCCTCGGGGATGGTCCGCAACACATCCAGAGCATCTCCTCTCAGAGCAAGAATCAGGCCTGTAGTTTTGTCTTGAAGAGTCCATTTATTTGCCGCAGCCGCTGCCTCAAACTGTCGAACGTACGTGGTCCAAGGAATCTTACCATCAAAAGTAGGTGGCTTTACTCGGGCTTGCTGAACGTCGCCTTCTACTCTAGTATTTGTTTCTGGAGCACTACTAGTACGCTCTTTCGTAGTCAGTCGCAAGAATTGCTCGCGCAGCTCTTCATACTTGTGCTCAATCTCAACGAATGTTGCTTTAAATGTTTTGGAAACTTCCGTAATTCTATCTTCAACTTTTTCTTCAATTGATGTAGAGACTTCTTCGATAATCTTTCTAGAATTTTCCGCCATCTTTTCGAACTTCTCGTCCATTTTTCTAGAGTTTTCCTCAATCTTCTCGAACTTCTCTTGAATATTTCTAGAATTTTCTTCATTAATCTTTCTAGAATTTTCTTCCATTTTCTCGAACTACTCTTCAAAATTTCTAGAATTTTCTTCCAACTTCTCGAACTTCTCTTGAATATTTCTAGAATTTTCTTCCATTTTCTCGAACTTCTGTTCAAAATTTCTAGAATTTTCTTCCAACTTCTCTTGAATATTTCTAGAATTTTCTTCATTAATCTTTCTAGAATTTTCTTCCATTTTCTCGAACTTTTCTTCAACATTTCTAGAATTTTCTTCCAACTTCTCTTGAATATTTCTAGAATTTTCTTCATTAATCTTTCTAGAATTTTCTTCCATTTTCTCGAACTTTTCTTCAAAATTTCTAGAATTTTCTTCCAACTTCTCTTGGTTGCTTTTTATTTCTTGTTGCAACACCTGTTGGCCATTTTGGATTTGCTGGAGCAAATTGAGCATCGTTTCTTCCATTTTAGCGGCAGCAGATCTTGTTACAGGCATACACAAGCACAACCACTTAATTTAATCTTACTTTTAATTAATTTAATTAATCCCACTTCTGACACCAATGTAACGTGATTTATAAATTCGGGTTCGATTTATATCAATATTTATTAAACAAAACTGAACACTATAAAAACTGTACAATTTATATCGACCATTTATATTACACACTTCGCAATTTATATCAGATTTTCGCGCTCAATGTTTCGTCCGTACTCGATCTCGTTCGATAGTAGACTGCCGCGATGTTCGGTCCGCAACCATTTATACACGCAAGCAATGTAAGTCCAGTAGATTCTCGAATGTTCCTATTATCGCGCGCGTAGAAAATTCCAGAGCGCCAAAGGCGACGTCATGTCTGGAGCATTTCCGTTACAATACACTTTAAGAGAGTGGGAAAATTCTAGACGAATTTAATACGAAATTCAATTTTAATTCTGCCATACAACCATTTTGGGTTGGAATTGTTTAGTCGCCTTGTACAATACACAGAGACTTTCCTTATTTTCCCACGAACCTTTCAAGTTCTCTCAAATTTTTTTTGAAATTCTTTTCAAATTTTCTCAAATTCACCCCATGTCGTCCACTTCCTTTACTTTAAATTTCTTCTTCCCATCAAGTGTTCCCTAAAATTCCTTTTTATTTAAAGGTTTACCAAATTTTCTGTCAGTTACCCCACAGGCGAGCTGATTAGGGAGACAAGGTCCTTGTACACCATGATTTTTAGCTTCCTAGCATGTGCTAGGAGGTGTAACGGATTTTTGGAAAAAAATTTTGGAGCGCCGTAACGGCATCGAACTTTTTTTTTCAAATAGCAACCTAAAATTTTTATTCTATTATTTGGAAGACCTTATTTTCCTGTGTACAACCTACAAAAAATTGGGCCGGGTTATATTATCAAAAAACGGAGAAAAAAATTGTCAAAGTCAAAAAATTGTGTTGCATATGTGCAAAACGCAACGATCTTGTTTCTGAAGCAATTTAAACGAAATTTCTATGGTAAGTCCCTTTAATAAAAGCAGCGTACATATGTTGGCAATTTTTGGTTTCAGCTAGGAAGCTATTCTGTCAAGAGTTTGACACCTGCTTTATGTGGCTTACGACATGGTTTGATGATTAGAGAAGCCAACATGGCCGTCTGCGTCGTTGCAATGAATTGGGAAAATTAATTGAACCCAGGACTTCCAACGGAGAATCGCTGTAGTTTATTAAGAAAGAAAAAAACTGCTGATATTACCTTATTAAAAGGTAGCTCCAGATATATTTTTTCACTTTCAAGTTAATTGATTATTCCCTATCACTTCCGCCGAAAACCACACGCTCGATTACGTCTACTGCCTGCGTAGGTTTCCCGCTTGCGTCTTCGACACAAGAAAATGATTTTACAAGCTGATGACAGATTTTGGCTGGGATTCTGCTTCGCGATTCTCGCGAACGTCCTACTCGCGATTACCTACACGGTGAAGAAGAGGGCTCTAACACCAAGGCATTACGTGTCTCTGGACGAAGAAGGTGAGAAGCACATACATTACAAGGACGGGGTGTTCTGGGCGTACCTCATTTTGCGTAAGTTGCACAGTCGATTTGAGTTTCGTATTGATCGTGCTTTGTTGCAGTGCTTATATCGGGGGTGGTCAATTTCGTGGCGTACTCCATGGCCCCGGCGTTTCTCGTCGCCGCCACCGGAATAGTCGGGATGTTTCTCACATCGGTTTCGTTTAAGCTGTACTTCGACGAAAAGTACAACCACGTTAGCGGGGTAAGACGACTAGGCAAGTCGAAGAGGTGTCTAACGGTCTAGTTTTAGCTGGGAGTGTGCTTCGCAATTTTGGGATTGGCCATTATGGTGCTGAATTATCCAAGGGGAGAAGTTTCGATGAATATTTTGGATTTGGCTTCGCTAATGTATACCAGTGGATTCGTTTACTATGTTCTTGTAGTTGTTCTTCTCTGGCTGATAACGGCGGGTTTCATTGTACCATCATGTCAAACCAAAAACGTTTCAGTGTACATAATATTTACGCTGCTAGCATACTCTTTCATAGGCAGTGCCACGATAATCGCTTGCAAATGTGCCGGTTACTCCATAAAGTATCTGATCATCTATGATGAAGCTGACCAGACAAATGTTTTGTATATGCTTCTTTTCTTAGTAACAATGTTAGTAGGACTTTGGATTCAAGAGTACTACATGGGACAGTTTTCAGAATCATTTTCCTCTCCTGGCGCATTGCAAGCGATTTTCTTTATTTTACGCACCGCTTTAGTAGCCGTCTTTTCCGAGTTTCTATTTAATGAATGGTCTCATGTACACGGTCTGAAGATAGCTGGTGCATCGCTAGGGTTTGTGTTAATTTGCGTCAGTGCGTTGATGCACCCTCTCTTTTCCGACCTTAGCTTTGATGACACTATCATAGCTGATAAATTTCGACCCAAGTAAAGCTACCCTTAGTTTTATTTTTAAGTACATTATAGCAGAAATTTGAATTGTTACAATAAAGGAACCATATAAAGGAAGTTTAAAAAAAGGAATCCGTCGAATATTATTATTTGAATATTTTCTCCAAAGTTGTGCCTTCACGATCCTATACATTTTAGAAAAACGTTTGTTGTGAAAAACACTTGACTTTTTCACTTACGCGTTTTTTCTTCAGAAAGGTAAAAACACAAAAAAAAATCTTCATGTAACAAATATATATATATTTAAAAAAATAAAAATACATTCTTTACGTAGTAACAAATAACATTTATTTCACAACTTACAAATTTCCTCTTCTCTCTTGATCAATTTCAATAGCAGTGAACAAGGTTTTGAAATTTCCAGCGCCAAATCCCTGTTAAATGCGAATTAAACACAGTTGGATAAATTAAAAACTCACATTAAAGTTTCGTCTTTGGATAACCTCCAAAAATACAGTTGGCCGATCCTGCAGGTTCTTGGTGAAAATTTGCAGTAAGTACCCATTCTCGTCGTAGTCAATCAAAAGGTGCAACGCCTAAAAATCTCAAGTGAAGGCACTCGGGCGAATTTCTATTTTACCTGTAACACGCTGATGTCTTCGGCCACTTTAACTTTGCTGTGCTTGAGACGTTCCCTGATCATGTCGTAGTAAGTATCGGGGACTTTGAGAAACTCTACTCCTCTAGTACGAAGGTTTTTCACCTTTGAAAGGAGGTTAGTGTACGATTTACAAACGGGAAAGATCACTTACTGCCGTTATGATATCTTGGGTGTTGAGGGCGATGTGTTGCACGCCACCTCCTCCGTAGTAGTCCACGTATTCCTGGATTTGACTTTTCTTCTTACCATTGGCGGGCTCATTGATTGGCATCTAGAAGATGAGCTGCAGAATCGGGCAACGCGCCTACGTGCTTACCTTGATGGTCTCATCCCAGTTGGCCATAACGATAGATCTTAAAGCTGAATATTCGGTGTGGATTTGCGAGTCGTCCACTGACCAGAACCTGTGAAACTGCAACATGGTCTCGTACCATTTAGCAACTGGTTCCATGTGCAAGTCTGGTTGGTTACCCACGATGTGGTCGATAAAGTCTAATTTTGTGGTGGGTCTGAAAGGTGTACTGTAGCTAAGATCGACGGTTGGACACTTACAATAGCTTGTTAACGGGATCAGGTGTGAGTTTCTCATATGAAGGTAGAAAATCGCCTTTGTACGCGCTTTTATCGATGAGGGTGTGCGTGGTGTCTCCATACTGGAATTAGGAGGTTAGCATAGGTATACCTTGGTGTTACTGACAAACCGTTTGAACAGTGGCGAATTTTACGGTTCCATACTCATCGGATTCTTTCCATATGTCACGAACCACTTTTGCTCCTCTTTGCTTGGCAACCTAAAAGGTGCATAATTAGAATTTGTGGCAAATCAGTGTAGCTGGTTACCCGAAGGATGTTGTCGAGGTCTTCCACTTCAAAACTAATGTCTTTTACGCCATCCCCGTGTTTTACGAGGTGCGCGTTCATTTCTTTCTGCGTTTCCTCATAGGGCGAAACGAAAACGAATATGATCTACAAATTCACTCACATGCATTCATTTTTTTTATCAATTGCTCTTAGTACCTACCTTATTTTGTTTGACAGCGTGCGCGGCGTACTCCCGATTTCCGGTCTCTAATCCTTTGTAAGCGAATGGTTGAAATCCCATACGGGTTACAAAGTAGCTGGATGCCTAAACTTCGTGTTAAAAATCGTTAGTCCATTACGCACTTTCTCACCTGTTTCGCGTTTCCCACATAAAAGGTTACATGATGGAAACTTAAAAATCGACCCAGTTCAGGCTAAAAGAGCTGATTAATGAGGGCGTGCGTTAAAATATAACTCACCTTAGGCCCTTTATCCGTATACGTCGTCTGAAACAAAGCATGTCAATTTCATAGGCAAATTTAAGAGTTAGGTACATACCATCGTAATCGCTTACACTTAAAATCTTCAACTGGTTGATATTGCGTGTTTCGCATAGTTTATATAATCTCGGATTAACAAGTTTATCAGCTTTAATTTAAGGTATATTAATTAGGTGAATATATTAAACTTCTTTGATTACCCGTTTTACTCCCAAGGCAATCTAGGCGATATATTGCATTTTTCACTAGAACATTCTGATACTGGAGGTGTGTTCGTATAACTGTTGGTTTTATTTCAGATTTAATTAAATGAATATTATTAGGGATTTCTTGCACGAATTTTCTTTATTCAGCAACTTGCTTTCAAAATGAAGCTTTTGTAGGGCTTTATACAGTCATACTGGATCAAATAATAAGGTAGTTTGTATACAGTATAAAAAATGATTTGGAAATGAAATTGAGAAAGTTTGAGTGATGTAGTGCCCGGAATCTGTTGCTACTGAATGCGATTATTCAACACTTAAGCATTCTGAAAACCAAGTACTCGCTTCCTGTCGAAACATTTGGATTTGGTATCATTTGGTACCATTGTTTGCTAGTTTTCATGTTACCTTCTAAATTCTTTTAAGCCTTTTTTTATTGAGGTGAAAAAATAGGTAGTCAGTTTTTGAACACAGCAATATAACATCTATACCACTGTAACTGGCTAACTTATAGGGCGCTCCTAAAATAAAATTAATTTCTACGTCACTGGTAAAAATTTACCGTAACAATGCATGTTTTGCAATGAAATAATTTATACCACGGCTAGTTAACTGATAAATAAACCCCTAAAGCGGATCTAAAAAAGCGACAGAGCACCTCGGTGTGACCCATCGGAGTCATTGGATTTGACACATTTTCAATAGGCTTGTTATATGTGGCATATAGGTCAACTGTGCAAAGTTTGAACCGAATAGGTTCAAGCGATTGGCAGTTATCGTGTCCACGGACGGAGAGACGGACAGACGACCACCGTCGACTTCCCCATAAAGCTTGCAACGCGTTGCTCAGCCGCTTAATAATTCCCTATATCGTGATCACGTTTTCAACCTAATTAAATTTCAGGATTTTTTATATTTTTACCCAAAATCGTCCTTAAACCTTCATTTTCTTGCCTCCTTTCTGTCAGGAAATATTAGTTTCCATGACAGAGGCAGAGCAGACTACCTTTCCTGCCGCTTGTCACTTTACTGGCCGCACCGTCACCTTACCGACCGCATTTTTAACATTTCAAAATATCTATAATGACTCCATCATCACTAACAGATTGACATTAATCAAAAGTTATATATAAAAATTGAAATTTTGTATTAAAAGACGGTTTCGGGTACAATTAAATACAAAACTCGCCAGTAAAATATCATTTCCTGGCTCGGAAATTAAAGTACTCGGCCCCTAAGGGGCCTCGCACTTCAATATTTCCTCGCCAGTAATGTGTCATTTTCCTCACTTTTATGTAAATAACTATTAATTAATCAAAACAAATTTATACACCTCCTGGATGCTAAATATAGATTAAAAATCCACAACCAATAAAATACTGAACTGGAAATTCTAAACTTACCAAAAAGAAAAAGGAAAATTATCTCTATCTTTTCCTGGGTATACTTATCATTTATAAAACGGCCAACTCCTATTTTTATACAATACAAAAATTCAAAAGGACTTACCTTTATCGACACGTTGAACTTTTATCCAATTGTCAGATGAATTTCTCCTTTGGAAGGCAATTTAGAAAATTGGATAGTGGAACGCTTTAAACAATACGAACAGGCTTTCCGTATTACCTATTCCTTGTTGAAAATTCTTTTGAAAGATTGTTGACGGAATTGATTAAGGAATAAACCCTGCTTCAGGCTTACTTTGACTTAATTGGTTGAACTTTGAATTATCCACAATAATAAATTACCCCGCCATGTACAGGTATAAATGTCAAAACAAAACCTTTAATTGTCATTAACCTTTTCATCGGTAGCCGTTCTGTTCGTAAATTTATTGCACTTATTATAAACAAATTGATGCATAACTTTAGTAAATAAATGGTTTTTTTACGTAACCTGCGGAATTTGTCCAGATTTTTTCAATACCTACTTCTAGGGTCGTTCGATTTTTTAGTTTCTTCATTAAGTTAAGTTCTACAGATTTCTCTGGATCGCGCAGTCTTTTGATTTTTTCAAATTTTTCCGGCCATTGAGATACTTGAATTCTTCACTTTTCATCAAAAGTTTGTAGGTTTATCTGGTTTTTTTAAGCTTCGAGAGACTCTCCAGCCACTTCGAATACAAAGGGTTCAGACCCTGGCATTCTTTAAAAACTTTCCTCTTCTTCGGATTCTTTCGTTGCGCTCTAAAAGTGGTAGCCCCTGGACTACTTTCTCGATCACTTCTTTAATTCCGTTTGTAAATGGAAAACTGTCGGTATATTGTAATATCCATGACCTTAGACGGAGGTGTGCGCTTTAGATTATTCATATTCTCTCAAGTCGTAAATAATAAACAACACCTATGACTACATACTCGTAAATACTCTGTTTACACTTCTTTATTATTCAATGTCACTTCCCCAACTAAAAGGGTAGGTCAATTTACCAGGAAGAAATGAATGCAGTATAACCAAACGGGTATAAGTTTAATACGCATGGATCATGTTAAATAGTTGGATTATGCTAATTTTGTTTACCATTTGATATCAACAATTAGTCGGACTAAAAAATAACGCAATCAATAAATTGATCCATGTTTATGAAATAGATACAGGCATTTTCCTAAGGCGATCAATTGCGCTTAAAAAACCACCTGCAGTGTTGACAGCACGACAGACAGATGAACTCCAAATTGGTAAAATCTAGTTTGAGAAAACTTTAGCAGAGCAATGAGGAAGAAGAAGGTAAAGAGCTTGAATGGACGTCAGCGAAGCGAAAGATGAGCGGACTCCTTTTGAAGTTATTTCTAGTCAAAGGGCACATTATAATGTTTAATGTACCGTGACTTATTATACGGAACTAAAAATCGAAAACCGAATTAACGTTTTTCAGCAGCTGGGGCACCACCGAGAAGTAGCTTCTTCATCCACAATACGCCAAAGGGCTCACGGTTTTCTTTATACTGTCTAATGAGGATTGTACATTGAGTACGTTTTGCGAATACCTTGTTATTATTCAATTTTAACAATGCCTCATTGCTAACGACCTATAGGCCGTCTTTTCATAAAATTTGTAATTCTAAAGACACAAATCTGAACGAAATTAAATACAGTGGACGCTTTCATTCACGAAAAAATTGGTTAGAATTTTTCTTTGAACCTCGCACGCGCTTCCTTTTTAATAAACGTGGGTGTCGTTTGCCTGAGACGCTTAATTGATTTTGTGCCCCCTAGCGAAATGTAGGTCACTGAAGACGCGTGATTTTTCAATCGGGACAAGAATCCCCATGAGTTCTATTTATATGTCTGTTTTATGTAAGTGTATGAAAGAAAATTAGGTTGGACGATCTGATTTTAGTTATGGAAAAGTATGTGTTAACTTTATCGTCGGTGACTGGTGGAAAAGCGTGATAAGGAGGGTGTGGGTTTTCATTGATCCTGCTTCGTTGTGCTAGAGTTTGCAACGTACGTAGGACCAATATGGCAGGAAGCTTAAATAGTCCTTGTTTTGGCGAATAGATTTGTGATTTAGTTATAAAAAGTCCTTCTGGTGATATTTGTGTTGTGTGTGAGCGCAGTTTGGCAATGGTGGGAACAGTGGCACAATTAAATGAATCGCTACGTTTTAAGGGAAAATTATAAATTTCCATATGGTTTTTCTGGGAGCAAAACCCTTTGGTAAGCGATGCCTTCGGTGTAAGTACAACTTTTAGATTGCATTTTTGTAGATAATGGCGACAGAAGACAGTATGGATGACGATGTCTTTGAGAGCTTAGAGGATACGGTCGCACATTCTAATCTACAGGTTAACCAAAACGCATACAATAGGTCCACCCCATCACCAACAGGTTATCGCGATTACAAACCTCCCGCGGAGGTTCTGAAACTTTGCGAAACAGACACTATAGAAGAATGCAATCAAATAATTCACAAGGTGAGAGAGTTCATATCTTCGACTTCATTCCTGACACGCTTTGTACCCTCAGACAATACTACTTGGTGACAGCGGTGTCGGAAAGACATCCTTGTTAGTAAAGTTCGATACTGGTAAATTTCAACCAGGAAACTTCTCGGCGACTGTTGGAATCGGATTTACAGTAAGAGTTCCTGTATAAAATCGCAAATTTGATGTGCCTGCTAGATTATAGCAGCTTCACCCGCATTGCCTATTATAATCCAGTACTTATCTAAGGTTTTCCGTCCGCATTTTCTATCTGCGCTAGTTAAAATTAATTATAACCAAACTTGGATAGACAATGTAAAAGTAACGCGATAACGTTTGAAGATTTAAATTAAACTTTAATCAACTCAGAAATTTGCAGTTCACGAAACGCTTTCGTGTTCCAAAGGTGAACGACGTTGCCACCCCCTGCGTCATCGTTTGTCGCTATTGGAAACACATTGTAATAAATACTTTCCTTTCTGGATCACATCTGAAATTGTGCCGCTAATAAAAGAGATTACTTGAAAAGCTATAGATTCAGGCAGTGGCAATGATCTACATGAAATTGCGATCATATGTAATAATAATAATAAAGCTTATTTAATGTTTCGTAGAACAGCCTACAATACAAAAGCAAAATAAAAATATTACAAATGTAAGAACAAACAAAAATTTAACAACAATACTTAATTGTCACGAAAAGAACTCTGTACTGAAAAATTCCTCATACGAGTAAAACGCTTTATCAATAAGAAAAGCTTTAGCTCTTGATTTGAATAAATTAAAAGGTAAAGCCTTAATATTGTGAGGAATATGCAAGAGATACTTGTCTAATTCACAGTGTTCCTCTTAATATAAATTAAAGTAGCCTAATGTTTTTTATGAATTTTAGAGTCAAGACTGTCTGCTAAAATTTTGTATCACAATTAATCCACGGCTAGCTCTACTACAGAAAAACAAATTCAAATGAAAGAAACCAATTCAGTTTTCAGTTTTTTTACATGTATAATCCCTGCCTTAATTTTAAACTACAATTTCTCCCCAGAAGGTCTACATTTGATTTCACCCAATTGACAATTCCCTCCAATGAATCTTTCTTTACAGAATTGAAAGAGTTTAAAGTAGGTCCCTAACTTTATTTACGGTCTGCATAAAGCGTAACCTGATAGATGAATTAAATGTGTGCAAACAACGTTGAATGATGTAAAGGGGGTCTCATAGGGGGATAGAAAATATATTGTAGCGCGTTAGCAACAATTTCCTTTAGACCGGTATTCATTTTGTAAGAGTTCAGTCGATTTATTAATGACGCAAAGGGAACGTTCGCAGCTTCCCAGACTAATAGGTCAAATTTGTTATAATGATGATATCCATATGTTACACCCGTTATAGGAACATTAACACAATCGAGCTATGGATCATTTTTATTTGAGAGTGCCAATTGGTAGGTACCTATTCAATTTTATTCCAGATTGTTATTACGGTTTAGCAAACCTGAAACCTCCTTTGCTAAATAAACGAAAGCTGCGCTGCTATAATTCGAGATATTCACGTCAAAAGAACTTTAGAGACAAAGCTGAAGGCTAATTAATGGGATTAAATGCGGAGACCTTTCATTTTGGGTTTTCCGGCGGCGTGTACCTTGCTAATCTATTAAAGAATCGTTAATGAAGTTCATCTCAAATTAAGATACTCATTCCTATCATTTTCGACTTTCCGTAAGTAGATCATCCCAGTTATGCTTTAGATTGAAGTTAAAGTGTAAGGGAGTTGCAGGCACTTAAATTTGTTCTGTTTACCTTCTTGGTTTATTTAACTTTCCTAAGGGAACTGCTAAAATGATGGTTTTGACTTCATTACGTTGCGTAGTTGGGGTGTGTACCTACACTTTAGAGTCTGAAATATAATATATTTTTCATTTCGACGGAAATGGCCAAAGTTTACCCCAACCCACACATTTAGAGAACTCGTAGCTTAATGTTGAAAAGCTAAATCAATATTCAATTATATAACTTTACGGTTTCCGTCATATTTTGAACACTTCTGTATTTTAATGAAAAAAGTACATATGTGAAAATTATTAACATGACAGTATAATACTTGCGCCTTATTCTCTCCAATTAAAATTAGAATATCAAAAAACCATAGAAATATTAACATTCACTAACACAAACTAGAGCATTTATTTCGAAAGTAGGTACACAAAGAAACTTATTGCAATTTCCAGTATCACGCGTATAGTTTTCGTCCCATGGAACTGAAAAGTGCAACTGACAGCGTTCTTTGCCACCAAAATATCAACAAATTTCCTTGGGATTGGTAACTCTCTTAGTACCATTTGGCACAGCCATCGTGGACTTTACCGTTTCTTAGTTTTAAGTATAATTGAGCTCAAAACAAGAACAAATCTTAGAAAGTAAAGCGCTTTTTGATAACTAAAACTGATGAGCAAGTTAGATAGGGGTCCGGGGTTAGGTACTTTGGATTAGTTATGGGTAACAAAACTGTGTTGCACTTGGAAACAAAACGTAAGAATAGCATTAGCAAATTATGCTATCTTGATGTAGAAGTGGTTTGCTTAGTGATACATGCTCGATAAATATTCATAATTAAATATTTTTAAATAGAGGTCGCGAGGAACCATGAATATTTAAGACAAACGGAATTGCAAAGTGGATATAGTCGGCACACTTTTTTACGTAAATTGGAGTAGAAAAATTGCGTAGTTACCGCTGTTTCTTGGTGAAATTTGAAAGCGTCATAGTTATTGACGTATTTACGACGTAAAATACCTGACAAATCATTTTACATTGCAAAACTATTGTTTACAAGGGAGTTCATTTACTAGATCTGCTTTAGAAATTGGATTTCTTCACATGGTCCACGTAATGCAAATTTTCCTTTCGATTCAATTAAAATGTTTCCCCTGGCGATAGTACAATTTTCGGTTTATATCCACCGGCCGTGCATTTATTAGCATTAGTTGCCATCAATGGAATATTCGAGTGACACATAAATATATAACGTGCGGCATTAAATATTCATGCCTTAAGGAGGACATAAAAATGTGGTTGAAATAATACCGCAATAAGAAAACAAGAAGCCTGCTTTTATTTACGATTTACTTCTTTCTTTTCAAGTAAACTGGTCACTTGCTACTCGTGTTGGGGTATAATACAATCATCTATTTTTTGGATTTTGGGTAGTTACTTTGTTTGACGTCAGGACACACTTAGGAACGTTCTTATAAATGCACAAGGTACACTAAGAAACAGGTTGAAAAGGGAGATTTCAACAGGTCCACTAAGTATTCTCTTCCAAAATTTTCATCTTTGAACGCGACTTCAATCCTGTGGTGCCCTTTTCGTCGTAGATCCATAAGCTGCATTCTTTCTGGAGTACCTAATATCTTCGTATTGTTTTCAGCAATACTTACTTGTAGAATCTTAGCAAAATTTCTGACGTCAGCCTCTACAGATCCTTGGAGAGCATCTGTAGAGGTTTTTAATACCTAAATATAACCCATTATCTAGAAATGTTTGAATTTCCTATTATTTGAATTATACTTACAGAATGTTATGTTCTTTGATCATTTGCATCTATACGAAAGAACTTTAAAATTGGGTAATGAAAAGTGAATAAAACTGCTATGAGAAATTTTATTTTTTTCGAACCTTTCAAGTTGGTATTTTCATCAGTTTTACATAAAATCGCCGTAAACCCTAAGTCGTTCCTTTCATCCCCTTAAAGGTGCTATGTGCAAAAATGATATCTTGAAACCGTCAAAGACGTAACTCCCGAACGAAACATTTTGGACCGTTCCTTATTTTGGTTTTGATCTTTTTTTGTTTATTTACTGCAATAGTTACCAATGTAATATCGAAATGTCCACAATTATCCTTATAGCTTAGGGTTTTGACAGCCACCAAAAGCACGAATTAATTGTCTTTAACCTTTTTATCGGTTGCGGTTCAATGTATCCAATGTCCAGTGTCCAAATATAATATTTCGATTACATCAAAAAACCTTACGAGCACAAAATGTGATGATACAACAAAATAGCACAAAAAGGACGAATATTTAAAATGTTACATCTAAAAATTTAAATAAATCGAGAACCATAGGTTTGCAAAAGTTATATGATACGATCGAAATGACCACAAAGACTTGCACACTGACCCTTTAGACTTTTTCGTTTCAGAATTTTATGAAGCCGGAGTAGCAAGTATATGCGTTCAAAATATTTTTCTAATTAACGAATCACAAGTTGTAGGTATTTGAATATGCGCCTCTCTCATGTTACCTATTTTTATTGGCAAAAAGGCAGCAAATTACTTTCGCAGTAATTAGCAAATACATGCGTAAATGCATACATTAACTATACGCAAATAATCAATTTCCCTATAAATTCAGTTTCACCGCACGTGAACGTGCTCAGAAAAAATGTTTGATTGGTTCACGAAACTTAATTCATGCTTCTTTCTCACAATGGAGAATATGAAAGCGCAACCCTTCCAAAGGCACGTAGTCAGCGTTCGCGCACCCTTTCCCAATTTCCCGAAAGCCCTAATTGGCCGAGCAAAGCGGTTTCAATTAAAACGTCCCGTGTACGCCACTGTCTCGTGCAGGTAACATGTATCCATAGAAACAAGGGGATGCTGTGCAAATCCTCTTTTCGAGCGCGAAATCAAAAGATCCGAGGAACACAGTTCACTTCAGCCCTAATAACTATCAAGCTCGATATTGCCACAAAAACGTTGTCTACTCGTAGTCGATTTAATTTTCTTTTTTTGTACATTCATACAGCCGGCAGATGCTGTTATTTAATAACGCACTATCATTACGGTACGAACGTCGATATTTCAGTTTTAATTAAGTTGCGGGTAGGTATTTGTGAAGTGCTCCCGGTGATTGATTCAACAATTTTAACTGTAATTTAATCAAAAAGCGGGTGAGCTATTTATTCCTTGTATTCCAGCTCCATCAAACGACAAAGTTCCCCAGCGGCGAGATGCTGTTTAACTTTCAGCCGCCCCAAGTGAATTCGCTTTGACGTAAACACTCGATAATTATGTTAAATGAAGAAACCAATTATCGAAGGGTGGTACGCGTGAAACCACAATGGAACGTTGACCAAGAGCCTGAGTGCAAAAG